AGCGACCCATGTGTGTATCATTGCTTACGAGTATAGTATCTTGTAATTAAGTGTTTACTAGATAGGTTTTGGCAAAAGTAGTAATACGAAAAATAAAAATTAATTTTCAGAAAATTTTACCGAAAAGTCGTATTAAAAGACTCCCTAAAATAGAAAATCCTCTGGAAAGTTTGTACGCTTGGACGCAATAGAAGACTAAGATCTTCTATTACGGGAGGAAGTTAGTTAATCGTGGATGCTTTTCGTTTCTTTATGGTTCAATATATATATATTTCACCTATTTCGAGCTAATCGATAGATCATTCGAAGCAGCTATTGTTGTTGCTTTCAGATCTGGATTTATTTCTAATATTAGAATTCATTTCTAATATATGAAATGAGTTGCTCTATCATGTAATTTCATCCATTATTTGTGCATCATAATTTATAATAATGTCCATTATTTCTAACTATCGGCGACATGGACAGGTGCAGTTAGATCGGCAAACAAACAAAATCTCTCTCTTTCTTGTGCCAATGAACGTATCAGTCGACATGTTTCTCTTCTTTCGATTGTGCGGTAAAAGAAGGAAGGTCCATTCACACATCTAATGATTTCAACTCTGATTTGAGATGTAGAAGCATCCGGTGATAACTTGTAACAGCGTCTTTCAAATTTTCATGTGCGTTTTTAATGAATACCAAATTGAATCACTGATAATTTGTGATAATATTCCACTCAATCTCACTCTTATTATAATTTTTACAAGAACAAACCTCAGCTTGGACACTTTTGAGGTCAAAAAATCCGAAAAATCGAGCCGAAATCTTAGAGTCCGAACCGGTGCAAACTGAGTCTGTTGAATCTTTCAATCAGCCTGGTTCCAGCTCCAAGATAAGCGCTACTTACGTTTCGACGAAGCTCGTAAATAGACTGGAATGAGTCCGAGAACCACAACAACAACAACGATGGCTCCGACAGCGAGGAGGATGTACAATTTTCTAAAATAAACAATATTCGTGTATAGATCGTTCAGTTTAGCGCTTGAAACTTTACTTTCTTCGTTCCATTATACCGCGAAAGTATTTTCTAGTTTTTCTTAGATCTAAAACATTGTTCAAACAAAACATGTTCTCCCAATCTGGAGTAGACTCAGACATGTCGGCATAACGGAAACATGTACATTTTGTTCTTCACATACACAATCGAATCTGGCAATTTCTGCAGTGAAGATCTTAAGAACAGCGAAACACTTGAGGCTCATTCAAAAGCAAGCAGAAAATTTCAACAATCAAAACGTAAAAATGTTTCTAACACCCAGATAGACCTTCGTTTGTCTTCTGTGAGCTTTGGGCTACAAAGAATCCGTCACGACTTGATTTTGTATTAATCTAGATGATTTCTATTCAATAATACGAAATTTCTTTTTTCAAAATCACTGTGTACCATAGGGGTAGGGGAAGTTGAAATTTTGTTTTCTTTTTTCTAAAGAATTGTTCGCGCCATTCTTTCTAGGATGGAGTTCTAATTTCTTTGAGATGAAAAATTTTGATAAATCAAAGATTTTGAGAAGTACCCGAGGTCGTTTTCCTTAAGACTGTTTACCTGGCTACTGGGAGATAAGTCCAATATCACCCCGATGGCGAACTTTGTTTTTCCAATATTTTTTTACTATTTTATAGAGAATTAAAAGTTGCATAACATATAAAAAATTCAGCTTGGACTGGTTTGATTGAAAAAAAGTGGCAGCATATATACTGCCAAAAATCGATTGTCATGAACTCATAAATTGTAACAGTTTCCACTCATGTTAAACTAAATAATCCCACTATATAGATGACAAACAATATTGTAAATAGCTCATTTTTTCCGCTACTGACACTCTATTTTTTGGTATATTGCATGAAAAAAATCTGTGACTCATAGAAGCACGATCTTAATAAACATTTGTAGAACGATTTTTGACTATTTTCTTGATAGTAAATCGGTAGTGCTCAAAAATCGATTCGGACTAACTTTACTATAGTATATCCAAATGAACTAAAAATTTGGGTCTGGTGGTTTTAGACGATAGCCTTTCGGATGCACACAAAAAAAATCAAAAATTTATTTTGTCCAGTGCCTCGTATACTGTGGTGATTTTTGGTTCTTTCATGGACGCTCTCTTAAGAAAACACCATCGTTCAGTACTTCTTCAGAATACACCCACTGCCCACACCCAGCGGCTATCCTGTAAAGCAATCACACCAATTAGTGTGGAATGTGTATGCTGTAGAGGCACAGCGTCAAAATGAGAGTTGTCTTCACTCACCTCTTTTCGATGACGAACACCAAACGAAAGTGACTCTTTTTTTGCCCTCGGTTTCTTTTATGACTTGCACAAGATAACAGAACAATTGTTGTTATAGCTCGAACGTTATCACAGTCGTATATGGCCGTACACAAACGTCAAGGATGCTATTTACGACCATAACGCGTGGTGCATAAATTTTTGCAAAAATATTCCTTCATTCTTCATCTGCAAAAACAGGTTTCGGAAAACTTAAAAATACCTATTTGTGATCTACGTTGAAAGAGCTTTCTAACTATGTGTCCAAATTTATTTTTAATCGTGTCTCACGTTTGAGTAGCAAGCACATATGTGAACAGCGCTAAAATGTAGCTTGTAAAACCAGCTCGAAATGACTACGCCGAAAAACAATCGATCTTACAGTATTTTCCAATTTTTTCCTTTCTCTTGATTGGATTTTGCTGACCCTTTTTTCATTAAATTCGCTGTTTAATTCTCTACAAACTGGGTAGAGAAGATTACGACATTCATTTAGATGACACCGTGAAAATTTGAAAAACAAAGACCTACGAAATATCGCAAAAATTTAATGTGAAAATGGTGATGGGCTGATGGAAGTCTTCAAAGATTTGAGTGGAGCCATTTCATTAAAACAAATCAAATGGTGGCTACTATTGATGCGAAATACTACCGATATAAATATGTCGAAGTCTTCAAATTGCAAGTCTGTACTATAGACGTCAAAATATAATGTGCCTCGATATTTTTTACCTATCTCGAGAATGAAAGCAGCGAGAAACCTGCGGTTTTCACCATTCGAAAGAGAAATGTGAGGAAAGTAAAACTCTGCCAAATTTGATTGGTCAATAATCGGCCAATCCTCTGAACGCTCATCGGATGTTCTGAAGACTGTCTAGGAAAACTATTTCTCATTGGATTTTATATTCCAATATGACCATTCGATGGGAAAAAATTGTTCGCTTTCGATCTACACAAGGCTAAGCTCGCTAGCTTGCTTTGTAAAAGAGCTATAAGCACTTTTCTGAGACCTCCGAAATCAGCTAGGTAACCTTCAATCATCCTAAAATAGATCGCAATAGGGGTAGCAGAGGGTGTGGGTGTGAGTATTGGTGTATGTCTTCTCTTCACGCACACCCACACCCATTTTTATCTACAGACAACCGTGCATGTTAATATATGAGCGTATTTCTTCTGTTCCTTTTGAAAATATTGTACGGATGAAGTTTTGTGGACTTTACAAAATTAGCACCATTCAAAAAAAAAGCTTTTTTTAGTGATTTTTTGATAGTGCCTTCAGTGTTTTGTTTTTTCTGAGCCTCGGAAACAATATTTTTCAAAGCAAAAAAAGATACACCTGGATTTGTTGCTAGCTGCCCTGGAAAATGTAGTGTGCCCGTTTGCAGGGGAAACTTTAGGCCATATTTGGTATTTGACCTGATAAAATCTTTCGGGCGAAAACATTTGAGAGTTTTGAGCTTATGATAACTTCTGTTCTACTCATCAAGATCTATTTATTCTGAAAGCTTCAAAAATTTTCGCTGAACTGTTCTCAAGAAACCTCAGAAAGGGAAAGGCGGTTCTCTTAAGAGTTCCTCGCCTTCTCGACACTTTTTGAGGAAAGTTCATCAGAAATATTTGAAATTTTTAGAACAAATAAATCTTGATGAGTAGAGTAAATGTTGTTATAGACTCAGGTTTCTAAAATGCCTGTCCAAAGAAGATAATGAGGTATCAATGGCTAAACATCGCCCGCTTTCTCAGGCGTTGTACGTCTGATAGAACTAAAAATTGTTTTTGCAGATACTATAAACAATTAAGGATGTCTACTTTTTTGATTTGTTTCTATCTTGTTCCCTTTGAATAAAAAAACTCAAATACGAAGAATATCCTAAAAGAAGCATGTTTTTTTTTTAAATAGTGCTTTTCTTATAAAATCTGCCGAAAGTCAATGATAGAATATTTTTCAAAATAAAAGGAAAAATAAGCACGCGAAACACTATCTAGCACTTGTTAAAAAAAACGATAGATGAAGGACACTTCGAAACATATTGTAGAGCAGAAAACACAAAAAATTTAAAATTTTGGACCGGAAAAACGGGAGAGGTCATTTGAGAACTCATTAATCACATCATTTACGTTCTTCAGGACTAACTAATAAGTATTTTATCTTTCTATTTTTCTACATGAAGTGGACTTATCAGTTAGAAAGAAAATAAAACGATGACCTTGAATTTCGTATTCTATTTCATACATAGAGAGAGAAAGAAAGAGAAAAGAACTAATTCGATTAAAACGATATGATTTATCTCATCTTAAGTTTCGTTAAACACAAACACTTTACTTTCATAACGAAAAAAAATGCTCCACCTCATACTTACTCTTTTGATCCTCTTTTATTCTTCTTCCAATGTCTTAACAAAAACCACTAAACCCACATCCAAAACCACTCCCGCACCTCAAAAACTCTTCTGTGCTTCATGTTCCTACGAATATACTTTTGATCAACTACGAAATCGATCAGCCTGGCAATCCCCTTGGTCTCGTTGTGAAAATAAGACATCCTCGACATCTAAATTCGGTGCAACAGCCTGTCATACACTTATTCGTATCGACTATGATCGTAAATATGTCACCATCTACTATAATGCATCCTACCTTTCTCTAAAAAAATTATCCGATGATGATCATCGTATTATGTTTGAGACCACCATGAGTACAAACGGTAGTCGTGCACAACTCAAAGCATTCTACGAATGTTCATTTGAAGATAATTGTCATCTACCATTAAAACGTTTTCTTCAAATTCAAACGGGCTTGAAATTTGTTAATTACAATTACACAAATTTAATTCAACGACTTAATAAATTTTACAATAAACCGAAAACGGAAGTGTTTACATATTTTCATGCTGATACACTTACATCTACATTGAATGCATATTGTGGTGACATGAATCAATTTGATAAAGCTAGTTTGAAAACAGTTAAACCAAAATGTTTGAACAAGAAAGATAAATTAAAGTCGAAGTCAAGTAACCTTGACGAGGAAACAAAAGCAACAGTGTACACATGCAGTGGACCTCAAAATAGTTATTGTAACAATGAGAAGAAATTAAAGGAATTTTTAAATGAAGTTACATTAACTGATTATATTCAAAAGTTTTTTGGATGGAAACAAATGAAAACGTAGAACTAAATTGTACTAGTGTTTGCATTAAATTTTTAAGAAATAAAAGTTGAAGAGAAATTTCTCTCGAGATTTAAAAATGTTTAATATTGAATGCGTTCTTTCTGGCTTTAGTACTTATCAGCCAATTCTACACCGCAAGATGAAAGCATGTCTATCAAGGTATTTGCAGCGATACTCAGGTTAAAACTGAGATGTTTGTTCAAGGTTCTGCTAGTTTTGCTGCAAGTTGCCTATGTTTTTCACGTATTCTACTGCTTATGATAAAATCATAATATTTATGTCAGAGAAACCGTCTTTTATTGTGATTGTGTTCTAACAGTCATGTTTCTAAGATCACCATGCTCAATACATAAAATGAAATCCGAGTGTTATGATAATTTTTTGAGAGAGAATTTCACTTTCATCAAGGTTCGTACTATCAGCTACGATGAATTATCAGCAATTTCGTAGAGTTTTGGAAGATGTTTCTACTGAGAGATAGGGTGTGGTTTTGAAGAAGCTACTCTAACCATTTTCAATCTTGCTTAAAGATCTCTCATCAGATAGTTTGGACAAATTATACATGGTTCCATGGGCGGAACATCTTTATAATTTCATCTTTCTCTGGTAAATACGAAGTATGAGTTTTTGAATGAAGTGCATCAATAGCTTTTTTTTTATCTTTCAGTTATTTCTTCGAAGTGTGGATGTCACTGGGTGTTGATCCTCTCTTCATTCATCCAAACCTACTCCCCACATCCACCACATCCACACTAGAGATCTGCGGAGTCAGGTTTTTTATTCCGAAATCTGACTCCGAAAACTGTCTTTCTTATGACGCTGACTCCGAGAATTTCTATTTTTTGACTCTGATTCCAACTCCGAAAAACTCCGAAATTATTTTTCTCGAAAGCAGACGACATCTAATGTATTTTATTGTTTAATTTTGGACATGTGTAAATCGATAAACAAATAAAGGAATGAAAGACAAACAAAGAATTATTAAAAGATTAATTTTGAATTTCTTTTCATTTGTTGTGCAGTGGAAATAAAAAACAATAACTAGGAAGTATTCCACATGTACTATGTCCAATCAATAGAGTCCTGCATGGAGTCTTTTTCGGAGCCGTCGTCGGAGTTAACTAAATTTTATGCTAAGAATTTCACTTTATCACAGGAAAGTTTTTGAACTGTAGATTTTGTACTCTGCTATTTACTGTATAAACTGATGCATTTTGAAGATTCCAACGACGTGTTATCAAAACCTATGGACATGAAAGAAAGTCGGAGTCAAGTTCAACTCCGATTTTGTTCGATTTCAACTTTCATGTCCATAGGTTTTGATAACACGTTGTTGGAATCTTCAAAATGCATCAGTTTATACAGTAAATAGCAGAGAACAAAATCTACAATTCAAAAAGTTTCCTATGCTACAGCGAAATTTTTCGCATAAAATTTAGTTGACTCCGACAACAACTCCGAAATTGACTTCGTACAGAGCTCTACCAAGCAATCAATAATTGATGACGACGAGAATTATTGTACTTTGGATGATGCTGAAATATTTTTTGATTAATGATATTATGTTTTTGTGAGGTTGATCTTTTGAATGTTATAGCCAAAAGGTAACCCTTTTTTTGTCCTGAAATTCATTCTTAGTATATGTAGTGAATGCTATCTTTCGCTTTTTTTGTTTAACCCTTGAACGGACGAATTTTGGAAGTGCAAATTCTGTCAATGTTGATGGCACAGTCAGGTAGGCCTTCATCCAGATTATCATGTATGAGGATCAGGGCAACAATACTGGAGTATTTCATGTGTGATATGCTCATTTACAGCGATCAACATGAATATAGTTTATAAAACAAGAAAAATGGATTAATTCTTTTCTTGCTTTGATACGTTAGGTTTTATTTTATAAGCAAAATAAAATCAAACATCTCAAACTACTACATGGTAAAAGCCATGCGAGTTTATAAGAAAGACAAAAATAACTCTATATTGAGGAACAAACAGAATTCGAGCAATATCAGAGAAAATCATTTTATAAAGCAAAACAAAACTGAGTGGGGGTGGGTGTCGGTATAATTAGAAACACACTCGCACAGACACCCACCCACACCCACACCAAAACACCCTATTCTGACAAGCAATCCTCATATACTATTTGTCAATTGTCATATATCATTGACATTCAAACAAGAAATATCACATAGTTATCAATAGAAAAGACAAAATATTGTGCATATCATATTCACTCGTAATAAAAATGTTAATCCTTTTTGAATTATAATTGAATGATCTGACATTTGTTGAGCATCCTTTCTGTTCGTATTATTTACAGATACTCCAAAAAATACTGGGATACTTCAGGTCGCGTTGATCCTTCTTCACAATCGATGTTAGTTCAAGCACATGCAAATAACATGAAGTTTTCAGGATATGTTGGAATTCTAGTGAAGAAACTATAATACCATTTTCAACTCTATAACATGACGTTTGAGAGAGATATTCCCTAAACAAGGGTCGACAATCGCTCATTTGATAGCCCAAAATTTCTCTATGAGCCTTCATTCTATATATTTAATTATTTTTTTTTTGTTCGAAATAACATGCCACGATGCAGGATATGACAGGACCCCTTTTTTTTTGTAAATTTTTACTTTTCAAGCGGAAAAAATGGAAGGATTTCAGGTTATTGAACGTGACGTCTATTTTCTGCGCTTAAAAAGTAAAAGTTTACAAAAAAAAAGAATTAAATATATATAATGAAGGCTCCCAGAGAATTTTTGGGTTATCAAATAAGCGATTGTCGACTCTTATTTAGTGAATATCTCTGTCAAACGTCATGTTATAGGGCTGAAAATAGTATTATAGTTTTTTGACTAGAGTTCCAACATATCCTAAAAATTTAATGTTATTTACAAGTTCCTAGACCAAAATTGATTTTGAGAAAGGATTAACATGACCGTAAGTGTCCAGACACTTTTTTGCAGTATCTGTATACGCTTAGTTAAAATATCTATCTTGATAATTAAGAATCATGGAAAAGTCTTCAATATTTTATTCTGAGAAAGTTTTATAAAAACTCTAATGATTAAACTTTCTTTTCAACCATAAGCAGCTAATATATATGCGTTTTTCTGATTCGCTACACTATTAATTTAGAAAACAAAATCTGTTATATGAACAATTCAATTATCGATATCATAGTGTAAGTTGATTTGGGAACGAAAATCTAAATATATTGTAATATATATCATGGTTCAATTGGATTCGAAGAAGAAACCAATGGCATGGATGATTCATAAGATACTTGGCTTCTTATTCCGCATACACGAAAATTTGCTGATGGTGATTGAATCAATCCTTCGTATCGTCCGTTTTATTCTACAGAAAAGACAAGAGATACTCCTGGCTCAATACGCCATTGCATATGACAATAAAACGTCCACGGACCTGGATTGTTTGCAGTGAATCGGAAGAGCACATAACTTTCGCGTGGTATATTAAATGAATCACCTATACTAAGGACACGTGGCGTTGAGTTAAGAAGTGGTAAAATGGTATTATAATCAAATTGCTTCAAATCTTGTCGTGTTCCATTACACTTATTCGATTTTAAAGTAGGAATTTTGCTAGCAGCTATAAAATCAACTGAATATTCATGTAGATGCCAAGGATGCAATTGTGGATCATAATTAATCATCAATATTTCATAGGTTTGACCATATTCAAAATGTTCAACATAAGTAGCATGAATATTGTTAACACGACCAGGTCGTTCATTTGCAACCACATGTTTAAATGTACCATCGAAAAAGTTAGCATGAAGTAAAGGTTCTTTTGGTGATTCAAAAGTAATTTCGTTGACAACCTATTCTTCTAAAGCATCAATAGCAGTATGATTATTCCAAACAGTTTCGAATGCAAGTGTAACACGACGAACGGCAGCTGGAGCAAAACGAGGTTTAAATGATTTTAGAAATTCATATTCGAAAAATGAATTATCCGGACTCAGACGCAGAACTTCTGTTAAACGACCTGTACGTTTATTAACTTGAAATTTTGAATAAACAAGTAATGCCCATGTCCAAATAGCCGATGTCTGTCCAGTAGTATTTTCCAAAGGTCGATAGCTATTTCGACTAGCTGCAAATATCGTATATTTTGCAATCGGATCTTGATTACAATCAATAGTTAAATCAAGTCGTTGTTCAATAGTAATATGCACAAAAGGAACAGTAATGGGCACGATCTCAATACTATCTCTAGCGACAATGATAAGATTATGTTGATCAATCCAAAAACGAAATGGAATACCACTAACAGCATTGATTAATCTTAAACGTATTTGTTTTCCGTGTAAACACAAAAATTCGTCAATAGAATGTGCATTAGGATTATAAGGACCAAAAAAGGGTGATCGAAGTGGTAAACATTGAATAGGATGTGTAACACCACAAGAATCTTGCCAAGTACGTTTTTCAGAACAATTTAACGTACGACAATCAAATTTACCATGTCCATTAATCAAGAAAGAAGTAGGTGACCATGGATACATAGGTATACTGCCTCGATAGGCACTATATGGACCTTGCAATGCAGTCATAATATCAGGCCATGTTTCATGAAACTATTCTTGTAACATAATAACATAATCGTTCGATCCATAATTATATCGTTGTTCAATACCACCATGATCAAGTATAATTGGACCTATTAATCCATCCGCATATTGTTGAACATTATGGGGAATGATACCAAAATGTTCCTCTTTGTGTTATATTAAATTCATAGCTAGATTTTTCATTTGTATTAATAGGACATTGAATAATGTGTACAATACCATCAGCCCATGGATTATTAATCATATAAAGATCATGAAAATGAATAGCTGTCGATTGATCATGTAACATATTAGTAATATGAATACGAAGTCGATCAGCAAATTTTGCTCGAATGAGAGGACCAGGAAGCGTTTGATCGACATCCCATGATGAATTAGCATGATGCATGATAACTACAGATCTAGGATATCCATCAGGATTCGATAGAATACTTCGAATGATGAAATCATATTCTACAAGAGCCATCTCAACCATAAGATTATCATTAAATAAAAGAAAGTAGAAGATCAAACGGATGAATATAATTTATTTTGTGTTCAAATGCATTGAGTGACGTAGTATTGCGTTGTATTCGTTGGTTTATAAATGATAAAGATTTTGCAACCGTTTAAGATCAATAATAATACTTAGTATAAAAAGAAAAAAAAAGTTACTTCTAGTTCAATTGAAAGCTAAATATATATATAGTAACTAGTTAAAAAGTAATCTATAAAGTATAATAATGCTTCGATATTTATACGCAATTCAAGCTAATGTTTTATTTATCTAACAGTATATCCATGTCACAAAAACTGGATTAGTTTTAGTGATAAACCGCGGTTTACTACCCATGTAGAAAAATGACGGAAAAAACCTGATTTTAATCACCAAAAATCAATTATCCAATGACAAATCGTCAAAAATCGATTTTTGTGATTAAAAGTCGGATTAAAATGAGATCGCTCCCATTTTTTTTTACATGAATATCTTTGAGTTTTAATCTATTCTTATCTATTGTCCAATTTTAATTTATTCTTACCTGTTTTTTTCGATTTTAATCTATTTTTATCTGTTGTTCGATTTTAAGTTATACTTACTTGGTAATCGATCAAAATCGATTATAACTGAGATTAATCGATTTTAATCGATTTGCGGCTCGAATTTAATCAGATTTTATCCCTTTTAATCGACTTTTCAAGAACAAAATCGATTTTAATTCTATTCCAAGCTTGTTTTTTTTTACATGGATATATAAACGATTTCAAATGAGATTACGCAATCACTTCATTAATCGATCAAAACCAAGGTAAATCGATTAAAATCGATTTTAATCTGATTTTTGCAGTTGGTTTTTTTTACATGGATATGGAAATATATGCGGTCGAGCATGTTTAATCCTATGATCCTTATTGATCTTAGAAGAAAGATTAAGAATTGAATAGAATGTAAAAGACAAGAAAGTCTGCAATTTTCTATCTCCCATAAGTAACATTTTTACTGATGTCAGGTTAACCCTTTTAGGACAGATTTTTTTTTCAATCAATACATGTTTCTTCGAGCAATTTTTTGTGTTTGAGTCAAGATACTTACAATGGAACCGTCTGAATTGTTAATCGAGTTGAGCGAGCTTGT